TGAGGGTGGGGGGCTTTGCGGCTCGCTCCGCTGCGGTACGGTGCCAAGGGCCTCATGGATTATGCAATGGCCATACACAAACACAGAAACTAAATTATACTGCAATCAGCTAATTTACATGACAGAGCGTCGCAGATGGCGCCCGGGTGTTCTTGTTTCTGCCGGTTCACGGAGAATAATGCATGAGAAGGTGACGGAAGGACACGGGCCGGCCGGTCTCGTTGTTTATGCATATTGAATGAGTTTATACGACGGCTGTCGGCGCTCGGGCCGCCGTCCCTGTCGCTTTTGATGGAGTCTTGAGCGGCGCGCGTGGCGGCAGAGATGCGAAAGGTCCGAGTTGATAACGGTACGTTTCTGTCGAACGACTTTTGCGAATTTGTCGTTGCTGCTTCTGCTGAATCTTTTGCTTGTCAGCGAATAACGCTAGGACTCTATGGAAACTTAAGAATATTATGTGTGTCTGCGCTGCATTGTATGTTTACGTTATCATATCGAGTATCGGTGGTGCAGCATGGGATTCGAATATAACAGAGACGAAGTTATAGTTTCAAAACAAAGTTAGCAAACTAGCATAATTAGAATCTAGACTATTATTTTTAAACGCTCTTTTATGTTCGTCAATGTGTTTCTTGAAGGACATACCTGTTTGTCCAATATAAATTTTAGGACAAGATCCCCATTTCAACCTGTAGACACCTGATGATTTTGGACATTTCGTTTTATTGTTTCTTAAAAATTTTCCTATTGTGTTGTTAGTTCTGAAAGCTATTTGTAAACCACATTTTGACAAATGGTTTGAAACTTTTTCACTGGGTTCTCCTACGTATGTAATATTGTTTTAAATTGTTCGTGTTCTGTATTAGGTTTCGGATAAATAGAGTTTGCTGTTGTCTGGATTTGTTTTTTATTTACAATTTTATCGATAATGGACGGATTGTAGCCGTCGTTCAGTGCAATTTGTTTAAGTTCTTTGTTGTAATTTTCTGTTGAGAGTGTCTTTGTATAAACGAGTGAAATGCTGCCATTTTGTGTTTTGTGTTTGTGTTTTTTTTTCAATCAAATTGTTGACTGACATATACTCAAATTTAGGAAAGATGACGATTATGGAAACAAGAAGCATATTCTTATGGCATTTGCTTGTATCATCATTATGATATGATTCCGAGAATAGGTAAAGTCCAATCAGAGCAATTATGCAGTTACGTCAAAGCATGACCTCTTTATCTGGTTCATAATTGGATGTCATAAATTGTCATCTGAATTTTGTTTGTTAGTTTTGAAGCGCGTGTCAAAAACCTCGTCAAAATCAGGATTCTTAAATTTATTTAAAAATTTTTGGAATATTTTATTAGAGAAATAAATGCGGGGATACCGCTGTTGCCCTTAAGGCATACTTGACACCATCTTATATTTATATATATTTAAGTTTCTGAAAATTGTTAATTAGGTAGGTATTGCAACGTGTTGCCGATGCATTAGATATTTCTCTAAGATCGGTGCCTAAGCCTGTTTCTTGTATGGATATTTCACTAGGTTTTTTGATTGATGGATCAAAAGGGTTGAAGTTTTTTTGGAAAAAATACAATTTTAATTCGAAAATATTTGATGTTACAACCATGCAGTGCTCATAAACGACTGACATTTTTGAGAAAATACAAGAAAAACTAGAATGATGCCTTTCCATTCAATCCACTATTTGTGCATGAAACTTGGATATTTATTAAAGACGCGTCTAGAAGAAGCTGACAAGACAAACAGTTCGAAAAAAATATGGTGAAGGAGTTCGCTATATAATTTTACATGCTGACTCTAAAAACAGCTTTGAGGACTTTGCCAGTCTTATCAGGGGAGTGCTACGAACACTGAAAATTTTATATAACCTATGAACAGAGATAAAAGTTTTAATTTTGTGCCCATGGAAATTCCCTTCAATACCAATTTGCTTTGGGAAAAAACTAACTTATGTATTTTTTTTTATTTTGAAAAGTAGTACCGTTAACTGCTGTCGCTCAATCTTAGCGAACCTTTATCAATAATAATGGATAATTCATCGTATCACTGTGGACTTGCTAAGCCAATACCTAATCAAAATTGGATCAAGCAATTTCTCGTTGAGTGGCTGCAAAAAAGGAATATTCCTTTTCGGACAAGTTTAATGAAAGAGCAGCTATAGATGTTAGTGAAGTATTTTTCTTTAAATATGAAATTGTTTCAAAATAAACTCTTTTAAGAATGGAAAAGTTTGCATTGGAAAATCGTTATGCCGTTTTGCGGTTCCACAAGAACTGAAAAGAAAGTTTATAACTTTTTATCGAATATCGAAAGAATCTTACCTTCAGTTGACAAGCTCCACCATAGAAAAAATGCACACAAATATACGAGAACGTATGATTCCAGAAGGATCATACTAAAGGACAAGCGCATGTCTTTATAAATAACAAACAAAATTGCATTGCTGTTTCCAAATCGCATGTTTTTTTATTATTCACAAATCTTCTGGATTCCTCCTGCTTCGATTATCAATAAGTTAAACTTTACTGACGATTCGCCAATCATCTTGTTGGCTTCATCTGTATCTGCTTATATATTATTGTCTCGGATGACTGATTCCCATATTGGTGAACGGTAAACACCCGAGTGGAGGTTTAGATTGTTTGGTTGCTTATAGATTCCTATAGATTCTCCGATTTTTCTTTCGTAGCATTGATTGCTACATTGATCGATTGATCGCTGCATTGAATGCATGCATGCATGCATAATTGTGTTCGGCAGTTACTGAAGTTTATTTGTCGTAGTCTTAAGACTTTTTCATGTTCTTTGAACTTAGTTTGATATTTTTCGTTTGGTCTCTCCGATGTATTCTTTGGCGTATATGCATGGAATGGTGTAAACTCCTGGTATCTCTGACACTGATTTTTGAACCGGATGATGATGTGATATTGCATTAAGGTATCGGTCTGTGTGCATACGTTTTTCTATTGGTAAAAATATCTAAGAATGGGAGACCATTATTAGTTTCTAATTCAGTGCTTAAACGTAGGTTAGGGTGTATCGAGTTTAAATGGTTAAGAAAATCTCGGAGGAATTCTTACAGTACAGTCTATGTAATTTTGGTTTTAGATGGAAGGTGTCAAGGACTTTCTTCTCAAAGGCTGCAAATAGCAAAGAAAGAAATTTCCATGCTGGTAATACGGTAATACGGTAATACTGACATGCTATTGACTATGGTAGAACCATGTTTCGCGGGTTGTAATAATGTTAAAGGTATTTTCAAAGCCTTCGCAATGAACTACTGGTTAATTCGCGGCAGTTTTGACTTTCCTTTACCAGATGAAACAGCCACTCCGTTTGTGTATTACTTTTTCATAGATGATGTGTTCCCGGTGACACGCAATTTATTAAGGCCTTATTCAAGTAAAACCCTGCACAATGTCAACAGGATATTCAGTTATAGATTGAGTGGAAGAAGAAAAACTATTGAATGTGTTCTTGGGAAGACGCTAGGTCGTGATCCAGCAATAGTCAATATATACTGAAGGCAGCCCACATCCTTCATAACTTCGTGAAGAAACGATACGAAACTCAGTGCAAGCTCCAAGGATAAATAAATGAGATAGTAGAAGTAATGAACAATATGGAAGTACGAAATTTGTTGATACACGAAGGTTCTTCAACCACTGCTGTGAGAAATTATTTGGCAATTTTTTTTTCTTTTGTCGTCGTACAGACTAAACTTGGCAGTAGAAATTTGTAGTAACGGGGGAAAATACGGAACATTATTATAACTTATTATAAAATACCAATGCAGTAGTAAAGTGGCAAAGATAGCCACTTGTTGCCAGGTTTTGTGGTTCATATTTTTCCTTGTCCAGTTTATAACTTTACAGCTCCAGTTCCAACAAATTTGAGGTTTAGTTCTTGATCACTCACGTTAAAAAAAATAATATGTTAAAATTAAATGAAACAACACCTGCAACGCAACAGCTAAGTCATAGTCAAATACAACAGTTTGCAAACTAGATTTTTTTTCAGAATTAAAACAAAAAATTAAATCAAACTATTTTCTTAATTTAAGTTTCTGCGACAGAATACTCTCAAGATTTCAAGTTCACTATTATTTAAAATTCTTACAGTTCTTTCGATAAGAGAGTGACCAACACAATTTGTGCAATGAGATGGTCAAAGGTGCGATTATGTCTCAAATTTCGTGACACATATTCCGGAGTTCTGGGCAAATAATAATTGGTTTCTGTTTATTCTCCAGAAATACGTTACGGCAACCGCCATATTTTAAATATTAAATTTCAGACTAACGAAAACTGTGCGAAACATTAGTATTGTCGGACATTAATTGAAAGGGTTATGCTTGTGGTTTCTGTCTCGATGTGCAAAAACAGAATAAAAAAACCCCAAAATATCTGCATAAAATTTATACAATTCTAGAGAATGTATGACATTATTTATACAATGGTTTGCAACAGCTTAGCATGAAATTTAGGCATATACATCATTTTTCACTTCACTCAGAGAATGATTGTTATTTCGTGATAATATTGGTATTGGAATGATCAAATCGTATAGGAATAAATTGTAAATTGGAGCGCATGGAAATGGGCGTCTATTTTCTTGAAATGAGAAGTGAGACAATCTCACAAGCAAATTTTCGCACCGAATATATGTAAAATTGGATATTCTAGGTAGACCAAGCAGTTTAAAACTATACATTATAGAGGAACAAAGAAAACGTACTCAACGTATACCACCAAAGTTGCAAGGGAGTTACTCCGGGTTGTGCCTCAAGCACTTTCATGGTCAGAATTTTTCTCTATTGTTAATAGTTTGTAACTATTATTAAATAGAGATCTACTGGTAATAAAAAATTATGCGTGTTAAATTAGTGTTGATTAACCTCTGAATACGTGCTCTTTTATCCACAACTAAGTGCAGAAACAGAGCCATATCGTGAATAAGCAGAAAATTATATCAAATTAACTTACCGGATATGCCGTCGTATGTCCACCATTCTTGCCAATTGTCACATCCGGCTGAAAAGAAGAAAACCGTCGTTAACTCTTTTTCCCTTTATTGCAAGTAATTTCTAATACAAATGCCTTGAATGTAAATTATACCAAATGCGATACCAACAATAATGGCTGTTACGGCTAGATGCCTGTATATACCGGATAGTTGAGGAATTTTAGATAAGATCCAGATAGCTAATCGTGAAAAATTATTTCTACATATACATAAATGTTTTTCACAACCTGAAGCCTACAATTTGTTTCTAAATATAATATTGGGCCACTGGTTTGTTGCATAATGATTTCTCTCTTGTAGCATCTGTCATATACTGGAGTATTCGTTTCTTTTGCTTATTGTTACTAAGTGTGAGAATCACATTTGCAGTGCATGCTTGGGGTGCACTACTTCTTTGTACTATATACCTGACCTACGCTTATTTCAAATTCAGATATTGTTTCAGACCTCAGATAGAATACACTGAATCAATACGTTCGATTTCTATTTTTCTAATGATTTCAAAAGACATTATAGTCAATTAGACCATTGAAAGAACTAAATGTTAAAATGATATAATTAGGTTAATACACTGAGGTGCAAGAAAAAAGTTGTGATTTCTTAAATTTAATCAAAAATTTCAATATTTTTTTTGAACCTGACTGGATTTATCATTAAGTTTTCACATTACCGATTCTAGTGAGTATTTAGTGCTTTTCCGAAAACATTTGGTCATCTCGTTGTAATTGATCAGTTTCTTTTAAACCCTGCCGATACGGAAAGGCAAGAAAGGAAAAGGCCAAAAACCGGAATAAAAAAAGATTCCTTGAATAAATTTGCTATCAAAATAACCAAATAAGAAACTACCCAAAGGAGGGTCGAAGGACGGAATTCATTTTCCTTTCCAGCCTCCGTCGAGGGGTAAATATTCTAAAACTGCCCCTGATATTTGGATTGACGAAGTTAGCAAGTCCTCCTCCGGCTCTTGATACTCGGTTATCTCGCTGTCACTTGAATTGAATTCTTTCGTTCGGCTTTTTAGAATCGCCCGGACCGACATCAAGCGGCCCTTTGTGTATTCCTATTTTCCCTTTCATATTTACGCGTTATACAAGTCGCAAAAAACGGATTTTTTGTTTTATTTTTCCCTACAGAAGTCCGTGCAATATGTTTGCAACTTTCAATTTTGAGAACATCTTTTCTATGTCATGCCCAAGCCCAAGCAAGCAGCCTGCCTTGTTCAAAAATAGCGATGCAGCTGATTGGTCGACATTGGTTAATAGCTTTATTGATTTGTCGCGACTTTCTAACCTGATTTTAAAAAATGTGCCAAAATTTATTCTAAAATTTCATCAAGTTAGGTGTGGACATTGTGATCATTCAGCTTCGTCTTTTGCCTTCATTTTACTTCCCGGATGAAAAACAGTGGACACATATTTCAGTTTTTTTTTTGAAGAATCCCTTTGCATAAAGACCTAAGTAATATTTTCTAACTACATTGACAATAACAATCCTTCTTTTTAGTATAAGTTCTCAGATGTGCCTTTGCCAAACAGACAAATTCCACCTAATTTTTGAGGACTTCCAAAAATCCCAGTTCTCAACTCGCCTCTAAACTCTTTATCAACTACATCTTCCCTATTTTGGTTAGCTACTGCTACTGCAATTTAAAAACACGCACTATGCAGACGGCTCCAAAATGCATATTAACTTGCCAGATTTACAGATTTACAGATGAACGACTATTATCAACAGCAAAAAACAGTGTTGGATGACCAACGAAATATTAAAGCGTATGGAGCAAAGAAAGAAGCTTAAAATCAACATTGCTAACTGCAAAAAAAACAAAGATTAAAGAAAAAATCAGTGTGACGACAGAAAGATAGGTGTCGTATAAATGTAAGGAAATGGATACACAGTTGTTGGAGTCTGGAGTGTACATATCGCTGAACTTTTCGAAGATTACAGACCAATTGAACCAAATAGTGTAAATAATGATGAAGGCCCAAAAATGTTAAAGTACGAAGTGATTTTTGGTATAACATCTGCCAAAACCAAAGAAACCACCGGATCTGATAATATCCCCGTAAAGTTTCTACAAGTGATAATGATATAATAACTGGTGAATAACTGGTAGAGTAATTAAAATCTGTATTTATAACACTGAAAAATCGGGCACAAAAAGATGTTTGACAAGGACAACGCTGTCTCTGGCAGTAGTACGTGACAATAGGAAGTGTAAGGCTTGCGTTTTGTTTCCACTGTTGTTCAGCAGAGCCGGTTTCACGCTGAACATCCATTGAGCTATAATATTCAATGCGCTCCTGACACAGCCATTGTGTGTGACCTTATCCAGGGTCACCAAAGTCTTTTGAGCTGGCAGGAGAGGAAATGGGGTAAAAGAAAAATGTAAATAAAACAAAGTTCACGATATTTGAATATACTCAGACGCTTCTCTGCAAGGGAATGAACAAGATATTTTAAGACTACCTTATTTAAAGTACAACATTCTAAAACATAAAATCACTCTTTTGGAATTAGAATATAAATCTTAAAGTTCGTCAAAGCATGTCAATGAATTGATCGTCTGCAGGCGTTTCAAATATGGTTGCATAGGTTCCGAATATCATGGGAAGCGAACCAAACCAACCAAACGTCATTCAGGGACTCTTAATAACTGAGACACGTTTTTAGGGGTGAATTTTACCGTATACTTCCGATTTTTGAGAAAGGCAAGATAAAGGGTGTAGAGTATTCCAATTGTTTTGAATTATGTTTAGCGATAAGATAGGTGGCGCCAGTGCGCAGGTCACCGCTTGAAGCCCGGACAGTCCGATATAAAGTGTAATAAAAAGGACGTACAAGGATCCTCAATCGTCGAGTCGTAAATTTTTTAAAAAACTTCGAAGAAAGTTATTTAGGTTGTTTTCCTGTTTTCAAATAAAGTTACATTCTGCAGAATCAGTGCCTCATGATTTATACGAGTCCACTTTGGAGAAACTCGTGCAAGGGGTCATAAGGGACTCTGAAGGAAACATATCTTAAATGAACCGAGATTCGCAGTGCATACCTGTTCGCTGAAGAACATCACATCGACTACATTTCGGATACTGTATGCAGCAAACACAGCATTGTGTTGAATAACCACATTGGTAGAAGACATTATTAGTAACATTCGTTGGTAAAATTTGTTTTTCTACTCCCGTGTGTAAAATACCTAATTACGCACCGATCTAGCGTGCGGGAAGCGTCGCTTTACCACGTCAGTTTCGTTTCCCATGAATGCGAGCCAGTTCGGACATTTCCGGGATTTTACCGCACGGGTTTGGGAGCAATCGGATGTTTTCAATTGTCAATTGTCAATTCTGACAGTCATGTCAGTGGATGTATTCGTGTTTTGCGAAAATGTACCCAAAAAGCAACGGTCGTAGAAAAAGTATAGTATGCAACACGTTCGGTAAACTTTTTAACTCACTCGTTTATTAAAAACTCGCTCCGCTCATGTGAAATAAACTAGTGAGTGAAATGCCGTTTACCGCACTTGTTGCATAATATACTATTCCGACTGATTAGTTGATTTGCATATCAGGATTTCTGTCCTACTCCCCTACTAGTGCGACAATTAATTTCATCGACATGGCCACCATTGGTCAATCCCGATCACCCGGTATAAAATTTATTCGGACAGTATAAAATTAAACGCCGACGAGTCTTAAAAGCAAAAGAATTCGATCGTATATGTCAAAGCGGAGGGCGCTTTCAAGAAATGTGGAAAATCGCAATAAACGGCAAAGGAGATGACGCAATAATATACAGAGAACTCGTTGGCCCGCGGCACACCGATTTCAGCGACTTCAATATAAGTCAGGATTACGGCGATCTTGTCACGTTTGGACTAAATACGGAGCAAAGAAGCAACAACAAACAGAGAAATCGATTTGAATTTTGTATTATTTGTTAATGCACTTCGCAAAGCTGAGCCGCTGCCACCGATTAAAAATTCCGGCAACGTGAGAAGGAGGGCTTGATTTCAGAGCCCACTTTTCGAGAAACTCGCAGGTTCGATGTGCAGAGATAGAATAAAGCGGACGATTTGGACGCGAAAATTTTTTTTTTTTAAATAAATAATAGACGGTATATAAACGATTAGTAAGTGCGTTCAGAGTGACTCCGAGAATATACAGGGTGGCCGGTTTATCTCGAAATCTATGAGCGTTATAAAAAAAGGTTGAATACAAAATTTGTTTCCAGTAAAGTGGCCTACAATATTTTTGTATTATTTCAGTTGCCCGTTAAATACAGGGTGGTCAAATATTTTTTTTAACGGAACACCCTATATTTTATTACATTTTGAAATTTCCGTTTAAAAGACGAATCCAAATTAAGATGTAACGAATACATGCACTGACATGTAATATCCCGGAAATGTCTGAAGGGGCTCGGATCCATTGGTTAATTTCATCTCGAATTTTTTGTTGTAATGCAAAAATTTCTGTGAACCTATTTTTAAATAATATGTCTTTTAAAGTGCCCCCCCAAAAAGAAGTCCAGTAGGTTTAAATCCTGACTGGCCAGATGGTGTTGTCCAATCCAATGAGGCTCAATATTATTTCTTAATAAATCTAAAAATAGCAGAGCTGTTGAATTTTCTTCATAAAATATTGGCCCTAAAATGCTATCTCTCCTAATATCGCACCAAACTTTAACCGATTTTCTTTGTTTATTTGTCTTAATTTTGGATTCGTCTTTTAAAGCAGTATTTAAAAATGTAATAAAATAAAAGGTATTCCAAAAAAGAATGTTACTTTATTTGATCACCCTGTATGTAATTGAGTTACACTTTAATATTAAAAAAAAGTTAGATCTAATTTTCCTAGAAACAACTTTTGTATTCAATTTTTTTTTATAACACTCATAGATCTTTGTAACTTCAATTGTTATGTATACTTATTTGGTTTCTCCGATTTGCTTGCGGCCCGGTCTCTCGCCCAGGCTTCGAGAGCTCCCCGCCTCACACACGGGGCGATCC